AGAAACTATTGAAACCCCCGGAAGCAGGAAGTTCTTCCCGTCAGTGATATGGGAGGGGCCGCTATTGCACTTCGTTCGAAAGAAGTTTACTCTGCTATAACAACAATGGCGATCGAAAGGCAGATACCGCTTCGATGACCGTTTCGGAGAGGGGATCAAAATAGCTATAAATCGGGTGTTCATGAAGGGGAAAGATGGACAGTCTAGAGGTGAGAGGCTTGGATAAGTGTAGGATGTGGTGCTGTCGTGGCGGTATAGGCGCTATCCGCGACGTGATAAAACTGAAATGACCCCCACAAATACTAAGCTTAGTCACGCCCATCACTTGCCACATGGAAGAGGTGATAACGGCAGCGAACTTGATCCACCACATTTGATCTGTTCATCTTTCCCCTTCATGAACACCCGATTTATAGCTATTTTGATCCCCTCTCCGAAACGGTCATCGAAGCGGTATCTGCCTTTCGATCGCCATTGTTGTTATAGCAGAGTAAACTTCTTTCGAACGAAGTGCAATAGCGGCCCCTCCCATATCACTGACGGGAAGAACTTCCTGCTTCCGGGGGTGTCAATAGTTTCTCTTGTTTGTTTTTTCCAACCAAAAACGTCAAAAGCACGACGTCGCACCGTGTTCAAGCAAGGATGCCAAACATTGCGTCAGTTTTTAGTTGTGAATTCACAAAATATTAATGTATGAAGAGGATATCAACAATGCTGTTAGTTTTCTTGTGCCGTACAAGGTTGGTTTGTGGAATATTGTTCGATGGCCCAAAGTTCTGACTGAATCGTCGTCTTCGGAGGCCTGAACGTGTTTCAAGCGTTAGACTTACGCTCTACACCACCAAGCGCCTCATCAACTCTAGCGGTTCCAGGTCGAGCCAGAAACTCCTCGAGAAGACCAGAACAATGCGATAAATCTAACCGATTGTTCCCCCCCCCCCTCCTGCCCTTGTGCGAAGGGGTTTGCTGCCAAGAGAGCTAGTCGGGCATCACCCAAACAATCTCTTAACTTGGCTTTGATCTCGCCAAAGCGAATGACTAAAACCATCTAAAGGTGAAGGACGACGATGCAAGGTTACAACTCCTGTTTTTGTTGTAAATTTCATCAGGAATTCGTTAAGAAAGTCTGAACACCGGAATGAACATGTGCATACTTTTGGGACGCCATGTTTTTCGGAAAAATTTTACAAAAATTTATGTTTGCTTTTCTTTCCGAATTTATTCACCTTATATCAATATCCACAGCTCTCCTATAGAATTGCTGCTAAAAATTTAAAAGGATTCATTCATTTGTTGCCGAGATATCGATGAGAACTGGGGTAAGCCTATACTTTTGAGACACACTATATACCCCATTTTACTCATTCATTGAAATCATTCAGTATTTTGATACTTCTTTCTCAATGCTACCGTTAAGGCGATGACACCCGCTGGAACGTCAGACTATGCAAGTGCGCGTTCCATATTTCTTCATCTGAGAGATGTTCCAGTTGGTAGGTACATTGCTTTGCCAACTACGTTTGCTCCACGGGAACAATCAACGTTCATGTTGCGAATCTATTCGGATCACAACGTTGACCCACAAGTTCTTTTGAAAGTGGGTTTAATTATCAACTACAGTCAGTCTCAAACTACATATTATCAGAAATAATGCAGTATAACGATCTATAATTTCTCAATTTCTATATATTCAGCATGCTCCTTCGCTAGGCTTGTTGGGATGTAGGCATGCCACATCGGTCACGAGAATCACAGTGCTTGGAGTTTCTTTGGATAACGCAGAAGGTGAATTCTAATAGAACTGATGGTGACATGCATCTGAAACCATTACGGTGGATTTAGTTAATTGTCAATGCTCCAGATTTGAGGAATTGTTTTCTAGAAGTGAGGGTACATTGTGTGTTGGAGAGTGGGAAGAAGAAAGTCCGCACATCGTCCGTTGAAGGAAGAGGAGACATCTCTTGGGGAGAGCAGTTTGTTTTCTACAGGTGCGCACTCGGGGTGTGGGTACTTAGGACAGAACGCGACTTTTTCGCTCTTCGCAACGCGACATCGCGCGGCAGGCTGGCGCACCCGCAGCGAAAACAACTACGGTATGAAGAACGCGCGATTGGAGCAGCTTTTTTGCATGCGTGAATTTGTAAGTTTCTGATTCCTTACTTGCCCGCGCTCACACCCATTGTATTGATAAATGCGGTGAATCACTAATTCTGTCTCATTATTGAAAACGTTTTGTGACTTACACGATTCCGGGCGATGCCACACAAATGGTGTTTTACGAATTATCGGTGAACGAGGGTTTAATAGTGTCGCTTGTGCTTGCATTTTGTGGGTTCATATTGTTGTATAGACATCTGCATAAGGGTATAACATCTTTTACGGAACGCTTCTGTCCTCATTACGGATATGATACTCATTTTTGACGCTGGCGCCATTTGGGGCCGGGTGGCGCCACAACTGATTCCCACTAAATTCGCTGTAAACTTCTGTATAGGGGTTATTCGGGGTCCTGATTTGTTGTTAGCGCTATTCGGCGCCTGCTTCCTGCTCGTCTGCGCCCTCGCACTAATTAGATCGCAATAGGACTAAGCCTTTGAGTAGTGTAGGGCTCCAAAGTGGGTAGGCCATTCCCCTGTGGTCTGACACACTCCAACTTTTGCCACACGGTGCGTGGTTTACCCACTCCGGAGTTTCACTCCCCTCCCCTAAGCTTAGTCGTAGGCGCTGTAGGTGAGAAAGCTTAGAAAAGCAGAAAGTATGCGTTAAACAGCACGAATGTGAAAAATGAGTGTCATATTCATGATCAGGGCCCCAAATAACCCCTATGCAGAAGTTTACAGTCGTCTCATCAAACGTCCATCAACCATTCCTCTTCCAGGTTCTCCAGAAGCTCTACCATCCATCTCTGCAAAAATAACCTACCTCCCTCTTCACTGCTAGTTAGCGGTCCACTTCTGGTTACCATTTCCTCGTTCATTATCAAATCCATGGCTATTAAGCTTCAAACTCCTTGTCGCAATCAAAGCCGACACAAATATCGCGCTCCAATCGCGCGTTCTTCCATACCGTAGTTGTTTTCGCTGCGGGTGCGCCAGCCTGCCGCGCGATGTCGCGTTGCGAAGAGCGAAAAAGTCGCGTTCTGTCCTAAGTACCCACACCCGCACTCGTGAGGCATTTTACACCAATTGTTGCACATCAATAAACATTTGTTTTTAGATCAGCTCCTTCACAACATTTCGAGGTAGAACTCTGGAATGATCGCACGTCGCCAGTTAATCTCATGTCTCGCATACGTTTCGCTGCTCCAATTGATAATGATACTCGAGAGCTCATGCTGAAATTAGATGATTCACTTGGGAAAACTATTGGTTATTTAAAAGTTATTGTTGCCGCCTTTGATGATCCTATGTACTTATGATACTTATATAATTCCTTGAAATCTGTGATAAACATTGCCCAGTCGTGTTGATGTGTACAGTAAGTTGACGCAATCGTCAGAAATATTTATCACTATGAAGGAGTTGAACTATTCAGCTACGCAGTGATGTGAAACAGTGGTCTTACAATATACAGGGGAGGGGGCAAAAAAAGTCACTCTAACTCACATTCAAAACAGAATTAATTACACTTTGCCAAAACCAAACCGAATGAGCTCAATTGCATATTGAAGAGCACATTCTATTCTATCAAAAAATTACATAGGGGCTTTCTACACCGACGACATCAGAAGATTTTCCCACGGAAACATGGTTCACGGTACGAGCTCAACGAGGTCGTCGAGAAACCATAGACGATTACGACGTCTCTGAAACGCTGGTCAAAAGCCATTTTGCATAGTCACAGCTAGTGTCTCTAAGAAGCCATTCAACAGTTAATTCATGTAGCAGCTTCAGAATGGAGCGATTAGTGGTAGTCCTCCTTGAGCTCGACGGTGATGACAGATGGCGTCATATTCT